TTACGCGGGCCAAAAGTGTCAATTGAATTGAACGATGCCCACTGCAGCAGCATCGCTTGTCCATGTTGCACTTGCAACTGCAAGTGCAGCCAGTTGCTACATCTCTGCTGCCGCACTTGCCGCAGCACCGCCATTGAAAGGTAAACACTTGTAACGCGAAAGTGCTTTTGAACCCTCGGCGCTTACACAATGAGCCGTGGCAGCAACATCACCAATAACATCGGCAACATCACCAAATGCAAAACCAACTGCAGCAGTAACAATGTCCGAGTCTGTGCACGGGAAGAAATACACGAATTATTTCATTTAAGCCCAGCAAAAACACCTCTTAGTTGGGTAAAACCAAAGACCCTACAATAATAATTATAATTATAATTATTCTAGTGTCTTTGGTAAAACTAAGGGATGATCGCACAGTTTCAAACACAGATTTCGATTCAAGCAAGGGTGACGAAAAACGATCTTCTACTTAACTTTCGGCACGCACTCGGCATTCATTCGCCCCAATTTAGTTAGTTTGTACTTTACATTCACCATTCCTTCTCCTTATTCATTAGCTACTCATTGTTCTAGCTATTCTAGTCATTGATTATCGCTTTAGTCTGTGCACTATCATTCGTTATAATCGGGTGATTTTCATTTCTTGTGTACAGTAGCGCTTCGTCACTTGGTGAACTGCCGTGCCCAGTACTTTACAAACGTACAGATTATTCATAAAAGTATATGGGTCCAGCCCAAACATAGCCTCGAAAACATAAATAGGCGATCTCCTCAAAGTAAAAGTAAGCAATTAGTTGGCACATAATATAGTTTTCCATCTGTTTGAGATTGCACACGAGTGCCAACTGAAGGCGGCACAATACAGATGGGTTTAACTGCAAAACAACATCCAATTTAAACCATGTTTTCAAATATCGGTAGGTATTAAAATATACTTATTAAATATTATGGCTTATGGTTTCTTTTCGTGTACCTTAAGACGCTAGACACACACACGAGTTGTTAAGTGGTTGAGCTATTGGCAGAGCCATCAGCCCATCGAGTGGGAGGCCAGGGATAATCGGGGGAGGGTCTCTGAGCTGGAGAAGAAAGTTGAAATGGCAGCTGGGGATTGCACGAGGATTTTCTCTAGGTGCCTTCGAGGGAGGATTCCAGGTCAGAGTTTGGGTTCCAGCGAAGCAATGGAACCTTGTGTTAGGATCTGCTGCCAAGATCATCGATCGGCAGTTAAGATGGAGCTGGTTACGGTGCTTTGGCACAGCTTGTTTGTGGCAATGTAGATGTCTGCATCTTGGAAACTGTCAAGGTATGAAGACCTGTGCTCCCCAGAGCTAAAGGAGAAGGCGTGTCAATAGCACCTACTATAGCACGTTATGAATTCAAATTGGATAAGATCAAGCATCATTTTGTTTTTCCAATTCAACTACTAGGGAATTTCAATTATGTAACTCCCACTCATACGGATATTTCTGCACCGAATACCCCACAACTCAATAAACCTCCATCAAAAGCGCAACCAAACAAACAGTTTACTCAGTTTCCACCGAAGAATTTCGAATTAATTTGTTCAACAACAAAAAACGTATAATAACTCAAAGTAGCGGCGGCAGCTGCCTTGCCCCTCCCCTCCGCCTCCATTTCCCAGTTGGACACCTACGCGTCTCGAGCATTTTTCACTCCGCACGATGCCAAAACGTCTACACGTCCACGTCTGGTCTGGGGTCTGGTGTCCCTACTCCTCCACCTCCACCGCCGCCCGGCTTGGCTTTTCCGCCAGATAATCAGTAACAAATAGCAACTGCAAGAGACCCCGGCAAGCGGAGCAAAAAGAGATGAGAGGAAAACGCCGGCAGAAACCGGCTTTTCACAGGCCCTCTCTCTGCGGCGATCGCGAGTTTTTGTTTTTTGTTTTCCGTTTTTGGTTTTCATTAGAGAGGCGCCTAAGTAAATGAAACAAAGCTAATGTAAAAACAAGAGCGAAAAATGCGAGAGAAATGCCCACAAACGACAGGTGAAGGCGTACGACAGCGGCCTAATCAATGCAGCTGGACGAGATCGGTAATCATCGCTCACCTGGCGATCACCTGGCGATCAACGATCAACGATCAGCGATCAGCGATCGCGATCAAATTGATTGACGAAAGTCAATGGGCGCACGCTCACAATCAATTAAGTATTTGGACATTGAGGCGCGGCGATAAGATCGTCCATTTCATTTCGTCGTGGGAGAGGATTGTTCGTGTGGATCGTTGAGCGATCATTGACAGCAGATCGGCGCTGGCGGCCTCATCTATATAATGTAATCCTCCGGAGCTGTGAGTCCGAGACATTTGCATAATCGTCGTGAACGATCTGCGAACAATCTGGGCAAGTCCATGGGACACAGGGAGAAAATGGTAGGAAAACAGTAGGAAATGTAAAATTCGCAAATTGCATACGTGGTCAAAATCAATTTTCCTCAAAGTGGTATGGGAAATACTCAGAGTATGAGAACACATCTCTTTGATTCCCGCTGTGTAACTGGGCGCACTTACACACATGATAGGCACATGATAATGGCCTTTGCCAAGTGTGATTACGCGCCACAAGATAATGATGCATTTGAAAGCCCAATGGAAAATCTCTTTAGAGAGTCCTTCGCGTCGAAAGTGAAAGTAAAGCCGCGGCCGGCGAAAGATTCGCCGCCGATCACCTGCCAAGTGCAGCAAACCATATACAAGTGCACATACAGTCCCCAGCAGCAAGTGTGTGAGATGTCTGGAAGGCCAAAATGGATTTGATTCTGTCGGCTGCGTGCTACCGCCGCGGCTGGAAAATTTATTTATGTCTGTCAGGAGGTGCTGGCGAAAATTGTTAACGGAAAATGCAAAAAATGAAAGTAAATTCGTACTGATAAAGCCATTTACGGGGCCAGCCAGACACAAACATGACATCAAATCGAAGCCGGCTCCGATTCGATCCCATTTAACACTTTTACCACCCTCGATAAAGCGGCGCACTAAAATCCGAGTGGCGAACGATATGGAAATGTGTTCAACGAGGCCTTTAAAGGATCTGCGACTGGAAGCCACATACTGGTGGCTTACACTTGAACAAAACTGTGGTGCAAATTCTGGCGAGCTCCTTCAAGCTTATAGCCAAATAGATTGTAATGTAGCTCGAAGAGTTTTAACTTTTCGCATTATCATACCTTGGCACATCATTATCGGTGGATGTGACATTCGGAGGCACTGAAGCACAGCAAATGGCGGGCTTAGATCAGTCTCCAAATGGAAAAGGTGGCCTCGTCTTGTCGTATTATTTGTTTGGCACTTCTGCAACTCACAGTGCCTGCGAGTCGTAAGCCGAAGCCTCGCGTTTTTTCCACTTTTTGGGATGAATGAAATGGCCGGCCACCAGTAGATAGGCCCAGACTGACTGGCGGAGGAGGCATTTAGAAAGTACACTCACGGAGGGGAAAATAAATTGAAAAACTGTAAAGCAAATTACAGGCAAAAGGCATTGTGACAAGACAACGCGTGGGAGATCGTCGGAGCACTGGAGCTGCATTGGAATTGGAATTGGATTTGGATGTGGAATCGGTGGGCATGGAAATGGCGTTGGGTCTGGACAGAGACAGTTTTGTATATAATTCACATATAGTTTGGCCCCCGGTTACGAAATGCCCGCGAATGAGTTATTATTTAATATATTTCAGCGCACGTCGGTTTAACTGCTAAAACGCAGTAAGCCGAGGGCCATATAAGCACTTCAATTTCCAACGGAATTTCTGTAGACCACGTTTTAGCAGTTACATCTAAGCCTTTTAATAAATAATTCGTCTCGAGACTAGGCCAGTCCTATATTCCGTAAAAAAAAAACATTCCAAAACTCAAAGTAAATATGAGAACAGCTTTCCAAGTCAAGCTTATATTCTGCAATCCAACGTCGGTGAATCCAAACGTAAGCCCAACCTAGACAGAAATCTAGAACTGGATACGTGTGCGGCGCCAGAAAACATCTAAAAATAAACCGCAGTTACGTAGCTCCCAGCAATTGCTGCACTGAGTCAATACAATTCAGCTCTATCAATGAAACGTACAAACATTTGCACTTACTACGTTATACTATGCTTGGCGTACGAGAAAAACAATTGCAGTCTATACTGATTCGCAGTCAAAGATTAACGACGTGGCACTGTCGCGTGCAAGTAAACAGAAGTCCGGGAAATGCCGGGCAAACGTGTCATAGTCCATCGGTAATCATTTTGTTGGACAGTGCTATTTATAGGTAACAAAAGCAAAGCGCCAGCAAAGTATTTTGCGGTGACCTTGCCAGCGAGCAAGTGAGTGAAAGGCGTCTTTGATCTCATCCAGATGCTGGTGGGCTGCAGCATGTAAGCGCACACAAATCGTGCCCGCTACCCCAAGACGTGACGAAAACAAGCCCCTATATAAAAGGCTAGAGCTCTAGTAGAGCTGATAAGGAGCAGAAGATCTTTTCGCTATCTTTATATGCCTCTGTACGAAGCAGCCCCTGTATTCTTCAACATGTTCCTTCTTTGCCTTCAAAATAAATTAAGATTGCTCTTTGTTGTAGCCCTCATTCATGTCAAGTTCAAGTAAATAAGTCACGTCGATCGGAAAATACTTTCGCAGTGATAACTGAATTGCGCCAAAGGGAAATACTTCTCGTTGAAACACAAATCGAAAGGCACGTCAGCGCGTCACAAGAACTTATCACCAAAACCCAGTCGCTCCAAAGTCAAGTCCATAAATATGTATACCAACAGCAGCGGTGAACTTTGAGGAGAAAGGTGTAAGACTACATTTTAATAAAATGTTCAGAGATTTTCCACCCATCTATTAATTGAAATGATGCTTTTCAAAAACCTATTACTCATTATCCAACTCACTAAAGTGACGAAATAATATGGATTCTAATATATCGCCTCACCTAACTGGGGGCTTACATAACCACTATTGCGTTGGCCGCGAGTGTGGGATCAATAAAACACTCACCTTTCCTCCGCCTGCGGTGGTTGTTGTTCTTGCAGCTCCGCTGATTGCGGCTGTCCCCTCGCCGGCCGCTCCTCCTCCAATTGCTTTGGTAGCTCTAATTGCTGCGATTCACTAAAACTATGCACTTTGCCGGCACTACTACGCTTATTATAATTTAATTGATTATTTGGCACTTGGGCGGTGGATGAGGGCGCGCCACCCACATCAGCGGCTATATCGATTTCACTAACATATTCACTATGGCTATTGGCCCGCCGCTGGTCAGATAGCGCGGGCAGCTCCTTCACAGGCACTGACGTGTCCCCGGATATTGGCCGATTGCCAGTTTGAGGCACCGGAGAGGAGGAGGATGAGGCAGCGATAGGCGCGCCTTCATGTGGAGTGGGCAACCGAGCTCCAGCTTCGTCGTAGAGCGGCGGGGGCGGAGGTTCCGGCTTTGGAGGCGCTTCCGGTTCCTCCGGATCTATGTGAGTTATCCGAGCTGCGTCCTTGGCTGAGCCGCCATCGTTGCTTTGGATTGGTGAATCTGCAGCTGCCACATTGTCGTACAACCAGAAACAGCAGCTGCAAACGGAAAACTCCCCTTAGAAATCGCTCCATATAGGCATGGATAGTATCTGTGTCAGCTCACCTCAGCAGCAGATTTATGAACATAAAGCGCACCAAGTGCAGCCGCATGTGCATGTTTTAGTCGCTTTAACTAAACTAAACCGTGGCTGGTGCCTAATTGGCTAATTTACTATTCTTGCGAATAGACAAGGCAGCGTTCGCCAAAAAGTACGTGTACCGTCGGGCCAGAGCTTTTGTCATGGAGTCCGTGTTAATTTTCCGATCGACATCGATCTCGGGTCTAGCACGCACCCAACTCCATTGTGAGTTAGTTTAAATAATAATAATAAATTAAAAAGCGCTGCAAAAATGTCAACGCGCACGTAAAATAACAAAAAAACTGGAGGTGGCCGTGCAATCGATAGGCGTGCTATCGAAGTAGCAGGTATCGGGGAAGCAGTCACAGTACTTTCTATCGACTACACTGGTTAACCGAGAACTTGAAGCCTTTATTTTTAATTATTATATCAATAAATGAACTCTCTAACAGACACGTGTAATAATTTTAATGAAACTAGAACTAACAAACAAAATGAAATAAATACATTTTTTGAATGTTAAGTTCCAAAATAAACCTAAGCTTGAGGTGTAGTATAATCGTGTTATCGATAGACCTTCCTTACCAGTGTTTATGTTTGTCACAATCAGGGCGCATTAATTATATCAAAATAATAAAGAAATAGAAAGAAAATAGCCACGAAATGTCCTTCCTGCGCGGGTCCGTGAGCTATGTGTGGTGCACCACCAGTGTCCTGGGCAAGGGAGCCACCGGTTCCGTGTTCCAGGTTAGTGTGGTTTACGGTGTTAATAATTTCCCACCTGACTCACTTTCCTTTCGAATTTTCCTTGGCTGCTTTTAGGGGGTCAACAAGATCACCGGCGAATCGGTGGCGGTGAAAACCTTCAATCCCTACAGTCACATGCGACCGGCGGATGTCCAGATGCGGGAATTTGAGGCTCTTAAGAAGGTGAACCACGAAAACATAGTAAAGCTGCTAGCGATTGAGGAGGATCAGGAGGGACGTGGCAAGGTGATCGTAATGGAGCTCTGCACCGGCGGAAGTCTCTTTAATATCCTGGACGATCCAGAGAACTCGTACGGTCTGCCGGAACATGAGTTCCTACTGGTACTGGAGCACTTGTGCGCTGGAATGAAGCACTTGCGGGATAACAAGCTGGTGCATCGCGATCTCAAACCCGGAAACATAATGAAGTTTATCTCGGAGGACGGACAAACCATCTACAAGCTTACGGATTTCGGTGCTGCCAGAGAACTGGAGGACAATCAGCCATTTGCCTCCCTTTACGGCACAGAAGAGTATCTGCATCCCGATCTCTACGAGCGAGCTGTTCTGAGGAAGTCAATCCAGCGATCGTTCACCGCCAATGTGGATTTGTGGTCAATTGGGGTCACTCTCTACCATGTGGCCACCGGCAATCTGCCTTTTAGACCTTTTGGTGGAAGGAAAAACAGGGAGACCATGCACCAAATCACCACCAAAAAGGCTTCTGGAGTGATTTCCGGCACTCAGCTGTCCGAAAATGGACCAATTGAATGGTCCACCACGTTGCCACCGCACGCACATCTCTCACAGGGACTGAAAACCCTGGTGACTCCTCTTCTAGCTGGCCTTCTCGAGGAGAATAGGGAGAAAACATGGTCATTCGATCGGTTCTTCCATGAGGTGACGCTGATCCTCCGAAAGCGTGTCATCCATGTGTTCTTCACCAATCGCACTAGTTCGGTGGAAGTGTTCCTGGAGCCAGACGAGCAAATAGACAACTTCCGAGAGCGTATTTTCCTGCAAACTGAGGTACCGCTGGAGAAGCAGATCCTATTGTTCAACAACGAGCATCTGGAGAAGAAGGTTACTCCACGAACGATAGGTGAGTCGGTTCATTTTAAAGATAAAAGTGATTCAAATACTATTTATACATTCTAGCTAAAGCATTCCCTGCCACCACAACAGAGCAGCCAATATTCCTTTACAGCAACGACGACAACAATGTTCAGTTGCCCCAGCAATTAGATCTCCCCAAGTTCCCAGTCTTTCCTCCCAATGTTTCAGTGGAGAATGACGCCAGTCTGGCCAAGTCCGCTTGTAGTGTTGGTCACGAATGCAAAAGACGCGTGGACATCTTTACCTCCATGGATATTCTTATTAAAAAGGGAGTGGAACACTTTATAGAGATGCTAGTGACCACGATAACTCTACTATTAAAGTAAGTGAAAAGAGAGATTTCATTTAAATATTGATTAACTTAAATTTCAGAAAAACTGAGAGCTTTGACAACTTGCTTTCCACGGTGATTGATTATGCAGATGTTGTGCAAAGCATGGCCAGAGTGGTAAGTGGCTAGTGCTCCCTGTGCAGAACGAATTTGTTAAAGCGTATTGATTTTATTTTAGACTAAAGGAGATCAGGAGATAAAGACCCTGCTGAGTGCCTTGGAAAATGTCAAAAACGACTTTGATGGAGCCGCGGATGTGATCTCACAGATGCACAAACATTTTGTGATAGATGACGAACTTAAGTGGGTTTCGTGCGAATAAGCGTTGCTTAAGTTATTATACCAACTACATTATCGATTTCTTACCCAGCGATCAATGGACCTCCTCCATGCACGGAAAGAAGTGTCCTTGTAAGACCAGAGCCAGTGCCCAGGCCAAGTATCTGGTAGAAAGGTTGAGGGACTCCTGGCAGCACTTGCTCCGAGATCGTGCTACGCGCACATTGACCTACAACGATGAACAGTTCCATGCCTTGGAGAAGATCAAAGTGGATCACAATGGCAAACGCATTAAGGCCTTGCTCTTGGATAATGTAAATCCGACAGTAGCACAAATCGCAGAGTGCCTGGCAGATTGGTATAAGTTGGCTCAGACCGTGTACCTTAAAACTCAAATTTTGGAGAAGGACGTGCGCGATTGCGAAAGGAAGCTGAACGGCATACGGGACGAGTTGTATCACGTAAAGTCGGAGCTTAAACTAGATGTGGACACAAAGACAATCAACAACAATAACCAGCTGGCCAAGATTGAGGAGCGGAATCGGTTAAGGGTCATGCAGCAGCAGCAACAGGAAGTTATGGCTGTCATGAGAACCAACAGCGAGATAATAAGTTTGCTCAGCAAACTGGGTATTACAAACGGAGGTCTTGAAAGTAGTTAGACTGGCATATCATGAAATCGCTAGAATATTTTATTCGCCTTTACCTTGTAAGTTAACAATAAATGTTTGCTTTTATATTGGAATTTTGCAGAGCAACGCCGTCGATTTTTCTTTCGAAACTTTGCTGGAATTTGGTTGAATAAGTGAGATTTCTGTAGGTCATTAAATAATTTATTTTATCATGCTGAAATACAATTTAATTTCCGATAATAGTTATTTAGTTAGTGTAATTTAACTGTCTATACATGAAAAAGCGGACTAGACTGCATGGCACACACAATTTAAAAATGGTATAATGCCCTATGGCTAGAATGCACTGTATAATTGCTTATTTACATTCTCTAAACAAGTTTACTTTTGACGATACTGATGATGATGACTCTTTCGAATGTTGGCTCCATGGTGTTGCTGTCGCTGGGAATGTGATCTTGTGGGCCCGTGGTCGCCGGCATCGGCCCGGCGCAAAACTTCGGCGTAGGATAAATCTAACTTTTTAAGTTTATGTAAATCTTGCGATACCGTGTTATGATAAAACTCAACGCCATTTAGCTCTATTACTCGTCCTCGAGAAGTCTGGGGAGTATTCATATTTTTGTTATAGATAACCATTGGTGAGCCATTCCAGTTGCTTGACGATGGAGTCGTCCGTCTGCGATTGCTGCGTCCAAATTCCGCATTCAATGTATCCGTACACATCTTTGAGCTGCCTTGCCCACCACGGTGGTTCATGGCCAGGGGACTGTTTCTGGGAGTAAATTCCCGTGAATTAAACAATTCGATGCGATCTCCAGATGAGCTTTGGTTTCGGTGCTTTCGCCTGTTCTTTTTCTTAATGCCGACACCTACGGTTAGATATTCGAGTGGTTCGCGCTTAAGTGGAGTAAGTATCTGGCCGTTCTCCCTTATTGGCTTCACATTTGATTCGCCGACAGTCGTTTCCTTCGAGGAGCTATTTAACAACGTAGATTGCGTTAAGGACGATTGGTTTTGTTGGTTTCGGACCTCGAAGATGTGTTTTTTGGCTGTTTTGCGCTCCAGTTTGGTAACGCACTCCGACATTGCAATGGACTGGTTGGATATAACTGAGGAGACGACGCTCTGTGTGTCGTCAATGAAGTCGTCCGGAGATTCTTCCCTCTCGGGTGTTACCGGGGGTACTTTGGCCGCCACCAAGGGCAACTTCTCTGTAATCTGTGCGTCGTCATGTAGGGACGGAAGCTTGTCTTCTTCGTTGTTATCAGCTGCCTTCTTGAGCACTCCAAATATCTCCTTGAAGAGCTCCCTGTATTCCGGGCGATTGCGGAAATGAGATTCAATGGGACTGACGTCGTCATAAATACTGAATTTACAATCGTTTCCATTACTTATTGAGCAGAGGAAGTAGCTAGGTCGCTCGTCAGTTTGTGTATATTTGTTGCTAGTTTCATCCGAGAATCCCGACGATGTAGTTTCTGATTCCGAAAACTCGGTTGGAGTGCGCTTACGTGTTGAGTCCAACATAAGGTCAGATTCCTTTGAGCTGTTAACAATTGTTTCCGGTTTTTTGCCTTGACTGGATTCTGTCATGGTTTTTCCCTCTGGATTGCTGGTGAAGTTGCTCTTGACCGCATTGGAGGTTCTCTTCACTTCCACCAGAGCTTCATACTTCTCGACTAGATCCCGATAGGGATTTGGTTTCTCGCCAGAGTTGGGATTAAGGTCCTCGGAAATCCGAAAGCGTTCCTTATAATCCGCAGCACTGTTATCGCACTTCGAGGTGCTTTCGCTTAGTATGCTGCGATCGTCATCTTCATAGATTTCTTCGGTTGGAGCAATGGAGGACTGATCATCCATATTGGTGTTACTTTCGTTAATATCCCTCAGGCAGCGACTACACATTTGGCCTTGTCGCACGTCGTCCAGGAGGCTAAACTCCTCGTGCATCGACATTGTTCCCTCATTGGCACTGTTCTCTAGCAGACGACTCTGCAGACCTTGGTTGTCTTGGATTATGGTCACCAGCTGCTCCTCCAGCTCGGTGCACCGCTGCTGTTCGGCCAAGAAGTCACGTTTCAACACCTCCATTTCGCTGAGCAGCTTCACCAATTCCTCGTTGTCCTCACCCTTAACGGCGGTCCGCTCACACATGGTGGCATTACTGAAGGAGAGATCCTCCAATCCGGTCGAGTTCGCCATGGCCATGACATCTAGTTTGGAGAACTCCACACTCTGCTCCTTGCACAGCGATTGAATGCTATGACTGGACACAGAACCCTCGGCTGAATGCTGCATTCTATAGCGTTCCTGCTGGTATTGATCCACCTTCCGCCGCTCGGTGCTTAGGGACTGTCGGACATCGCTCAGAAGTTGATTCAACTCCTCGCAGCGGGCTTCCAGGACTTCCGTGTTGGTGGTCAGCGTCTTTATCTGCTTCTTGTCCCGGTTCTTCTCCAGATTAAGCCGCTGATTGGCGCGCTCCAGGTCCTGAATGCCCACTTCCAGCTGCTCGTAAACCTTAAGTCGTGAATCATTCACCTCGGTCATCGCATTTATGTGCTTGCGAAGGTGCAAGATCTCCAGTTCCTGCTCATCCCCCTTGATTTTGTACTCCTTGATGAAGGTTTCCAGCTCCTTATTGCGTTCTAGAAGCGTTTTCCCCAGCTCTGCTGCTAATTGTAGGTCATCGAGCATGAACTGTGATACGTTTTCACAGCCAGCCGAACCGTGATTGGATTCCTCCATCTTGGACTTGGACCTTTCTAAGCTTTGGCTTGATGCGAACTCTGGCGAAAATTGAAAGATTTAATCGATTTTAGTTCATTTTGCAGCAGAGCTTTCTCGCACAATTCGGCAATTACTTGTCAAATGTCCTCTCAATGGTGGAAAACTGCTACAACAGTAACTTTTTTACTGTTTCATCCCCAAAAACAAAAAGTATGGTATTGCACCGACTGCAGAAAAAGCCCTATGTACTGCGGTGCAACTGCATCTACGTATAGATAATTTGTGGTTTTTATTATACACAGTCGACTGCTGACAAAGAACAGAAATGCACTTCCTTGCAGAACCGGAAATAATTTGTAATAGGATTAATCGCGTTAGGGGGATTCCCGAAACAGATAGGGATACGGTTTAAGCTCGCCTTACTTATGCAACGCCTCACAATTTGCGTAATAAATCAGTATTGTATTCTCAAATACCTACGATGCCTAGATGTATAAATATATATTTAAGCTTTTTATGACGCTTAAAAAAGTAAGCCATATTGCGATGGAGCAATACACGAATACCCTTATCTTTTTTTTGCAATTTTTCATAGGAAAATTAATTATTCGAAGGGTTGTATCAGGTAATAATTTTAACTTATTTAATTTAAGTCCCCATAAATATAAGTCGCCTTATAATTAAAGATATTATAATTAAAAATTAAATATCTAATCTAAATATTATAATATCTCAATTAAAAACATATTTAAGGAGTGCAACCACAGATAAACGTTAAAAACTATATGTTAAAACTAAGAAATATTAAAATATTTAAGATTGGTCATTAATTGACGCTATCTTACCACCACAACGGTAGTTGGCATGCCGTAATTAGCAACCACCGCCTGGTCACACTAAGTGACCGGCATTCTTGTTTTGATTTTGTGTTTTCATTTTTTCAATTTTTCGATAGTATGGGCCTCCCGCCATGCTGTACGCTCTAGTAAAAGCAGCGGAACTTGTGGATCAGGTCCTGCTGCGTCCGCTGGCCAGCGTGATTGATGCAGTGGTCACCGGCGTGTACTACTTCCTGTGGGGTAGCTACCTCGTCGGCTACTGTTTGGTGGAGGGCAGCAGGAAAGGATGGAATCTATTGCGATGCACGGTCTGCGATATCCACGAGGGCTTCCGCAGCCTGGGCCTGATCACGCTAGATGTGACGGATTACTTCTACTCCGGCACCAAAGGCGGGCTGAAGAATGCCTGGGATTTTGGTCAATGCATAGCCCGGTTCATCTGCAACTTGCTCATCGAAATGGGCGATTTCATCTTGTGGATGTTAATGCTGCTGCCGAGGGCCGTACTATTTGTCGTGGACTGCCTCCTCGACTTTGTGGTGCACTCCATAGTGGCCCGCGGCTTGAGCTTGCTGAACAGTGCGTTCCGGCTCTCGATAGGATTGGCCCTGCTCCTCATTCTCTATATGTTCCGGCGCTATGTGCACCTCTTACTCATCTACCTGCTCCAACGCGCCCGCAACGAGATCTCAACCAAGACGCAAAGCGTTTACCTGTGGACCGATCACCAGCTACAACGCTTCAAGGCGAATTTGAGGAGTGATTCAGAGAACGCAGGATCCCTGAGTCGTGAACGCTGTGTCGTGTGCATGACTCAGAGCAGGAACGTGGTAGTCATGCCTTGCCGGCACCTCTGCCTCTGCAAAGAGTGCTCACAGCAGCTGCAGCGCCTATTAGACGACCGCTGTCCTGTCTGCCGGCACAACATAACGTCATTTCTGCAAGTTTACGTTTGATACAATCTCTTTTTATCATTTTCCCCCCCTCCAAACTTGTATATAAGACTGCCAATCGGATCTAGGTTATAGGGAATTATCATTGGACTGAGAAGGCAACCAAATGACATTGGTTGAAGGCCATTCTAACACAAAAGGAATACCAAAATCTTCTTAACTTAAGCATATGTAAGCATATTAACAAAGCAGAATCCTCCAAACAGACAACAACTTTCAATGCGGCTTTTACATCCCTAACACCCAAAATAACCAGTAAGACACGTAAATTTGTTTTATGTATTTATTTCAAACCAATGAAAATATACGATTTGTTTTGTATACATTTATGTAAATACGGTTTGGTTTTGCGTATAACTAATTTGCTCAAAAGACAGATATAGAAAAAACGTTTATTTTGGGCTTACATCGTTTAAGTATATAATTTAAGATTAAATCGAAATGAAATGATTCGCTTTGCTTGGTATCGTATTGCAGAGATAATTGAATTGCAAGATATAGGGGTTTCTTCATAACATTCATATGATTTGGATACTTAACTGGTAAATGAAACGATCAAATAAGAGTAAGTTGCACAACTGGCTATATAGCATTGGTAGTGCCGATATCTATCAGATATCGGATATGACATTTGTCATAGCGTCTATAGGTTTCACCTCTCCTTCTGCTTCTGCATCTCCTAGTAGTGGGCGCATAGTTGGGATGGATATTGTATAGCTTAGGTTATCTGTTGTGTGGTTGGGTGTATTGGGGAAGTAGCGTCCGATGCACCAATATACGCTCCTATTGCGAATGGCATTATCTTTCGAAAAACGTCTAATTAGGCTATATAAATTTAGTTTGTGCCGATTTCTGTTGCTTTTCAATTTGTTGTATAAAGCTTTATGCGCCGCATCTAGCTTAATTCTATCCGTTACATAGTAAAATATATATGTTAATGTGTGTATATTCTTTAATAGCAATATTAAAAAGTTCTCGTTTAAAATTGTTTCATCGAAAAATTTCACGTTTACTGTTTTTGTTTCGTTTTGTAGCTGTATCTCAAAAATATGAATCCACACTTGACATTCACGTAGTAAATATGTATGCATTTATAAAATTACAAAAGAACAATAACCCAAAATATATGTATATGCTCGCTCTGGGATGGCCATATCCAGCTATAGCTATAGCTTTGTACATAACTTGTAAAAGTCGTCGCTCTATTCAAAATATATGTGTGTAAATATGCATGTAGGTTTGATGTTTCCATGTTGTGTAGGTACAAAGTAGGTTCCTAAAGCTAGATATATCTCTATAATATTCATATTCATATTCATATTCATGTGCATGATTGATACTCAATGTTGTAACGGCTAAAATGGCATCGCTTTGAGGGTTTCGAACCCGAACCTATCTATCATCTCGTTTCAAACTGATTTGGTCACCTAACTGTTCCTGTGTCATCCGGCTTATTATCGCTCCCAACCGTTACAAGATCAGGTTTATCTAAATTTTTCGGTTATTTAAGGTGCGTTTTCTTATGAAATATTGCTCTATGGTAACTAAACCTCCAGCTACCTAGGATGTATGTTTGTTGGTTGGTAGGTTCAAGTGAGATGGGTCGCTTTGAAACTCTACATGTGGTTTACCATTTTTCAGGCATGTTACTATTACATTTTTGGAAATATCTTGTGTTTGGTTGATGTAATTTTGCAACAACTGGTGTTTGCTGCTGGGAAACTTAGTACGTCCCGTTTATAACGATCCATATCTAAATGTAATTCCAAAATGTCCCATTTCACTTAAACCGCGCAGGTTTATTTTTCATAGCTACAACTCAGCCGCATGCAGATCATAGTTTATACTTAGTTTAGCTTGGCCTAGGTTCTTCTTAAAGATGGTACAAAATCTAGTTGTCGAACATTTGATGTGCTACATGGACAATAATTTAATAATGATCTATCTAAATTGTATAGGTAATGCGAACTTATTAGCCACACCGACGCCCGGGCTTGCCGAATATTAAATAGATTTAGTAACACTTGGGTTTCGGTTCTACGTGTTCCGTGCACTCGAAAGCTTGAAGAGATATGTTATTCACTTTGGGGTTTTGTGTTTTTGCTCTTAGTTTGCATTTAGTTGTAGAAGTCTTCAATTTAACACATAGAAAATGTCTTTCGTTAATACGAACGTTAATTGGAAAGTTGCTAAAGACTGGTACTTTGAAAAGTCCTCGTAACATACCTTTGAAATATTTGCTATCTAACGGTCTTTTTCATTTTTCATTTTTACTTTTACTTCTTACTTTTTGTTACGAAAGAAAAGTGGTACGTATAAAATAAACCATACAAAAGTTAGACATAAAAATATATATTTATGCGTGTATATATATTATAGACATATATATAAATATATATAGAGTTCAATGCCAATCTATCACAAAATCACATAGAGGGGTTTTCTATCGAGATAACACACATATAGAGAGGACAGATCCAAAAATCCACATACGATTCTTTGAGAACTTAGATGGAGTGGTCTAGGATTGAATAAAGTTCTATTCTCGTTTGGAACGTACGAACTACGGTTATACAAGGATCTTGGATACCGAATACTTGGGCTTACGCTACAGATTATTATATATATTAGATCGTATTTAGTAGCTTATGAGCTAGCTTGTGTGTTTGTGTGCAACTCTCTCTGTGTCAGACACAATCATCACAAAAAGGTACTTATACTCTCATTGTGCACTGGTTGGTGCATTGATAAATCGAACAGAATAGTCTTAGGCTATAACTATTAGGACCTTAGTCTAGGATTAAGCCGAAATACTTGGTTGGGCTCTCAACTTTATGCGGGTCTTGATTACCTCAGGGCAATCACGGCTTTTATATGATATGATAGTGGATTTCCTCAAAGTTCTCCTTTAGCTCAGAACTTTGAAAAGAGTGGTAGGCTAAGAACAATCTAAGGCTAAGGTTATCGTATTTTGTCCCAATTTGTGCAACTCAATGGGGGATTTCCTTGAAGGAAACCGCTGGGTCTATCATATAAATTATATAACACTACTGCTGCACGCTTTATTTATTTATTTGTTTCGCCTAAATCAATTGACTAGAAGTTAGCAAAAGGCAAGAGAGCAAGAGAGTTCTGTCCGTTCGGTCCGTTCTGTCCGTTGTTTGTCCGTCCGTAGTGCCGAATGCGGTTGAGCAAGCTTCGAAGTCCTGGGATGGAAAGTGTTTCCATTGCGTGCCTGGCCGTTGATTCCGCTTTTGACAGTTGAAATTAAACAATTTAACAATTAACGTCAACAAGTTGGAACTCGCGGTGCTGACGAGTCACGCAGGAGCCATAGGCTGTGCACTGGAAACCCTCTCTCAAATATTCATGTCCGTAATTATTGAAGGAGCCGGGGCTGTCCGGCAAACTACCTAGCTCTACTCTAGAGATATGGCCTGGGTCCGCGTTTGCTGTGGTGAGATTTATTTATTTCAGGCTTCTGCCAAAGCTAGTTGGGTCCTACTGGGTCCTTCTCTGCATATCTTAGGAGGCATAACTTAGGGGCTAGTTTAAGGAAGCAAGTTGTGATGATACGCTTGATCGCTCGATCGCCTAAAAGGGCAATGTGGTGACGAACATGTTCTCGATGAGGGCTGGCGCGGGCACCAGGTCCTCCAGTTTCAGGTAGAAGATCCTCTGCAGTCCCTGGACGCTCAGGGATCGCAGCTCGGGCAGCTTGCCCAGTAGGCGGCTGAAGTAGTGCTGCTTCTTCTGGGCCTCGGCATTGTAGGTGACGTGGTCGCGCAGACTGCCGATGATCTTCATCTGCAGCTGCTCCACCTTCTTGGGCTCCCGCAGGCCGTGGCGTTCTGAGGATGCAACAAACCAATAATGGGGGAAATATTATTGTGGTTCGAAGTATTATTTCTATCTTTAACTTCTATCAATTCAATAAGATGATCAAGTTAAGGGCAAGAATAAAAGACTAGGAACAGAAGTTTCAGTTTGTATATGTCAGAAAGAAAGCGTATCTTTGCAAATAATCTGAATGGCATTTGCTGGAATTTCAAAATCCTTATGTAAAGGGCGAAACCCACCTGTGATCAGGGTGAGCGCACAGAGGCAGGCGAAGGCGGAGATGTCGATCTCCAGGTTGTGCAGGCTGCGGCTGAACTCCATGATGTCGTTGAGCCACTCGCCAAAGGACCGCAGGCACTGGGTGCGGTGGAGCACCGTGCCATTGCAGAAGATCAGCTTGGTGTCGTCGATCCTGGCGCGATAGGCCAGCCGCAGGACGAACAGCTCCAGGGAAGCGCTCTGGAAGAGCAGCTCCTGGTCCTCCGGCAGGAGATCAAAGTAGCCGGGAATCTTCTCGGCGAACTGCTTGATCACGTCCACGGAGCTGGTCAGCAGCTGGTAGAACTGCTGCACCTTATCTGCCTCGCTCATCGACTGCTCCTCGTAGTGGCTGTAGTCCAGGCACGAGGGATCCGGAGTAGTGTCCACATGGCTTCGCACCAGAGCCGTGATCAACGAGATGGGCGGCGATGGCGGCGACTCCTGGGGAGATTTCGGTTTCGAGGGCAGCCTGCCCCGCCGTCCCTTCAACGAGTCCGTGCGCACCACTTCCTTGACCATGCCCACGACCAGGCACTTTTGGAAACGGCAGAACTGGCAGCGGTTGCGCCGCCTCTTGTCCACCGGGCAGTTCTTGTCCGCCAGGCAGACATACTTGGAGCCCTTCTGCACGGTCCGCTTGAAGAACCCCTTACATCCCTCGCAGGTGCGCACTCCATAGTGCTGACAGGCCGCGGTGTCGCCACAAACGGCGCACAACTGCGACGGAGCCTGGAGCAGTCGGCCCGCCTGGAGATCCGCGCTCGCCGGCGAGCTGGCCGCCGAATTGGGCGCCGAGCTGAGCTGCAGAGCTTGGGCATGGCAGTGCCGCTGGCCCAGCGTGATCTTGGCCAGCTTTGGGCTCTGCGCCGAGGCTCCGGCTGGCGAAACGGTCCGCTGCACCGGCAGCGATGCCCGGCGAACGGGCGGCGGTCCGCCCACCGATGGGGAGGAGATGGTGGCCGCCGCCGCGGCTTCCACAGCTGCTGTGGCCGCGGCCAGCTCCGAAATCGTGGGGAACGTGGGCAGCGAGTAGCGCTCGCCATTGTGCGAGGTGTAGTTCTAATGGAAGAGAGCCGTTTATGGCAGTTAGTAATATGCCACTATCCGTATCTTAAGCAAAGTATCTTAAAGAAATGTGACTTTTCACTTACATGTTGCTGGTAGCTCTGCTGCTGCTGCTGCTGCTGTCCGTAGAAGTTGTCCGCTGCGGACACGCCATTATATTCGTAGAGGGAACTCGCCGAGGAGCTGGGCGACAGGTTGGCGCTGGCATTGATGGCATTGAAGTGGCCGTGGTAGTTGTAGCCGCCACTGTTGTGGCTGTTGCCCGCGTTGTTGCTGTGGTTGCTGTTGTTGCTGCTGCTGCTGGGATGCGACATTTGGGCCTGGGACTGCAGGGTGTGCAGCTGCTGGAGCTGGGAGGGGGCGGGCGGACTGGCGCTCCAGCCGCCGGAGAGAGGCGGGAAGCAGTCCTCGTCCATCTTGAGGGTCAGCACCTGGTCGGTGGGCGTGGGGGCGGCGGTGGAGGAGGAGGACGCCTGCTGGGGGCTGCTCCCGCTACTGCTGTTGTACTTCAAGGAGTAGGTCTCCTGGAAGCTGGGCAAGCTGCTGCCGCAGGACAAGGGCCCACCGATGGGCGAGATCAGCTGGAGTTGAAGGTGCTGCTGCTGCTGGTGCTGCTGCTGCTGCTGTTGCTGCTGCTGCTGCTGCTGCTGCGCGTGCAGTGCAATTGCCGGATCGCTGCTGGAACGCAGGCTGAGCAGGCAGAGCTGCTGCTCCTGCTCGGAGCTGAGTTGCTGCTCGGGGATCGAGGACAATCGCTTGTCCCGCAGGCACGTCAACTTGGTGAGATTCTCAATGGAGCTGGTCAGGTCCTCGGCGGGATTGTCCGGGTAGCCGCTGGTGGTGGGCGAGAGCAGGGAGTTGTTGGAGTCCGAGGGGAAGAAGAGATCCGAGAAGAGTTCGCTGTGCGACACCACAGACGCGTCGGTCAGGTTGCTGATCAACTGATCCTCCTCATGGGAGAGCAGCGTCTCCGACTTGAGCAGGTGTTGCTGGGAGTTCCCAAGTTGCTGCTGCTGCTGCTGCTGCTGCTGTAGATGTTCCTGCTGCTGCTGCTGCTGCTGCGGCTGGTTGTGATGCTGCTGATGGAGGAGGTGGCTATGGAGTCCAGCTGCCGATGCCGACGTCGTGGAGGTCGTCGCGGCGGTTTGCGTGGAGAAGTTATCGAAGGGCGACAATGAACTAAAGGAGCTCTGCAACGAAAGACAGTCGCGGGTCGAATGAGTTAGTGAGCTTGCGGCTCCTGACTAGATATCCTAGCCCTAAGGGTGGAGTCTAGCTCTTCCGGCCTGCGACATGCGCATTTCCCCCGGCCATCAGCCGGCTGCCATTGGCTCCTTGGTCGGCAAAGCCACCCCTGTGGCGGCAGCTCCGCGCTGATGATGATGATTCCTAATTGGTTATGCTTATGCCTAGGTGTTGTGCCAACACAACGCACCTAACAATAGATGGCTAATTGCCGCTTTCCTCCAGAGGAGTCGCCTCCTAGCAGCTGCCAATTAGCGCGGCCATTCATTTATGGGCTCGCCAAATTTGCATGGGTTTCTGTTGCAATTTCCACAAGTGGCATCTCATTTTCAATTACACAACAAAAAGCACTTTGACCTGATGCCCGTACTTAAAAGGACTAACTATCAGGATACTTTCTACTTACATTGGGCTGCAGCAGTAACATGCTTGATGTCGCTTGGTTAGTGAGCCTCACTTGGCTGATTTTGGCTGCTGCTGCTGTTGCTGCTCCTCCCGCTTCTGCTGCTGCTGTTGCGGCTGCTGCTGCTGCTGTTGTGGCGGATGTGGCAGCTGCTGCTGCTCGGCTGTCAGTTTTCGCGGCTTTCAATTTGCCCGCGACGAGGGGTTTGGATTTCCTGGGCTCAGTGGTTAATGCCGCTGCACCTGCAAGGATAATTCGAAGAAAGGTCTTAGCCATTAGAATGCGCGGAGTCAAGTGGGCATGAATGCCACACGGAGTCCCGGGGGGCAGCTTATGCTAAATGGCTGGTGAAATGCCAAATCCGCGCTGACTGGGCAGATTCATATTGCTGCCGTGCTGATGTTGCCGCAGCTCGTTGCCCAATTGTCTCGCGTTCCACACGCAAGCGGCGTATCGAATGTCTTAATTAGAAATGTCTCCATAGGTATCCATACATTTGGATGTTTCTGCGCATCCCCAGTCGCCCAGAGACACCTCCTCATTGTGTGGCGGGGTTGGCCAAGAGGCACGCTCACGCTGCAGGCAGCAGCCAAGCTTGCAACTTGCAACTTGCAACAAGATGCAAGATGCAAGCAAAGGCTTAGGAAACAGAGCTGAGCGAGGATCACAGCTCCATCGCCGCCTAATGCGGCACATAAATGTAATAAATTGTGTTGTCCGCTGTGGCACGGCTCGGATTTGCGGCCTGCCGCGTTGCGGGTGTTCGGGTTTTGATTATAATAAATATTTTGGCCGCCTCGCGTTGCAAAAGGCAAGCCAAAGTTCGCGGCGCCCCTGCGAAATCATTTTTCACAATTTGCATAATTCACGCTGGAAATCGGAGACCGCGTTCTTGGCCAAGTGCTATGAACCAAAAGTGATCACTTTGGCGAAGATCATCCCATCTTTGGTGGCACATATCATTTGAAAGCAGGAAAGAGTGCAATTAATGACTCAATATTACCTGAATTAAGTATTAAGCAGCTCATAAGCTGTCAGCGAATTCTATTAGCCATCAATTAAGCCAGCCAAGAGAGTCGGACAAATGCTCACATGGATTTTGGCCATGTTTTTCATTTAATCTTTTCCACGGATTTTCCCCAACTCGCCGACCGCTGGCCGCCTGACCCCCCTGACACCTTTTATCCGCGAGAATTAGTTATAACCGGCAACACCGAAAATAATAATCGCAGCCCAGCAGACTTTAGTGTCTTATAATATTTCCTAACGTGTCTTGTCTCGGCTTCAGTTTGACAAATTAATAAATGTTGCTGCGGCTGCTGCGGCTGCTGCGGCTGCTGCTGCGGCTGTCGTGTCAGTTGACTGGGACAAAGCCAAGAGTCGCGAGGCAAAACAGAAAACGTGGACACAGTTCAAAGGGGCAGTCATAAAAAAATAATGGAAAAGGTGGGCGATAAGGCAATACATTTATATAGATGTATTCATGATAGGTGAATGAAATATTGCACAAAATATGTGGACAACACATGGGTTTAACAAACGTTCGCTTTCTGAAAAACTTTAATATAAAGTAAGCAATCAACAATCTGCATAAATCATTTAAGCACTGGAACATCTTCTGCAATTAGAAACCATTTTCGGACTCCACTAGAATTTCCAGTTTCCAGTTCCGTTCGAAGCAATCAGCGGATCGAACTGCAGCCAAACGCATAACTTGGCTTTTGGGTGGCTGGTTGGTTAATTGCAGCATTTGGCTAACAAAAACATTTGCTGGCTCTCCCAATTTGGCGCATTCTTGGGCTGTGGGAAATCCGCAAATATTTTACATGTTGCGTAGAATGCGAGCTTGCAAGTAAGCAATCTGTTTAGGCCCACAAATTGCCGTGATATAAGCGCATCTTCCACTTCGCATCGCGCAGTTGACTGAAAATGGAGAAAAGGTCCGAGAAGTCGGCGGTATTGCATAAATCAATCAAATTGTCTCCCACTCGGTCGTTGCATTGAGTAATAGATCCAATTTCGATATGAAACAGAAACTGGGGTTTCTGCTCTTCTCCAGTTTTGTGTCTTCATTTCTGGCTCTCGGGCTTTGCACAACTTTAAATACCAACCCCATTACCCATTACCAATTTCCATTTTCCAGTACCCATTACCCATTACCCATTAAGCAACGGAGATGGCTAGCACAACAATGAACAACAATTGATGAAAATCGACAATTAATAGTGAAAGTCTAGGCCCAGACGGAGCATCATCATCAAAGGTACTGCAGGAAGTTGGTCGCTCGGGACTGAAGACCCAGACTGCAGACTGGGGACTCCTCCATGTCTATTAGGCCAAGAGTCTGGCTTTGTCGCTGTCGTGGATTTCAAAGGCGATAGCATCGAAGCCGCCAAGCCGCCAAGCCGCCAAGCCGCCAAGTTGCCAGGTTGCCAGGTTGCCAAGTTGCCAGTTGCAGCCGAGCAGAAAAGCGAAAACCTGCCCCAAAATGAGTAAACTCCTTTGGCCGGAGACCGATACCGAGACCGAGCCGAACCCGAGACCCATTTGTATACTTCTCACAGATCTTCACACGGCGACGGACTGTGGCACCCACTGACTCAATGACTGAGTGGCCGGGCATGGGCCGTTTTGACCTGGCCAAAAAGTGAAGACGGCTCGCATTACCATTTCTTTGGGTCACTGCGCACAGTTCCCCCCCCCCCCCCCCCCCTCCCCTCGCCACCCATGTCAGTTTCGGCAGATGCCTGCATGTCCAGCTCCATTGATCAGGTCCCCAGTGCCTCCACCTCCACCTCCAACTCATCCTCTGACTTGGTTGGGCCGCAGTTCAAAGTACAGAGCTTGCCAAATAATATGTATTAGCCGTATTATATAAAAAGAAGAAAACGAGCGAAAAAATTAGCCAGCTTATGCAATGGCCTCCTCATCCCCCTGCATCGTAATAAATTTGTTAACGAGCCGGACAGAAAATCCGCAGCGTTGCGGGTCCTAAACAATTAGAAAATCCCGCTCTTCGGGAAAGATGCTGGAAAATGCATATACACTGCAATGGTACTACCCAGCCCAAATTACAGATTTCCTAATGCTATTTGCTATTTGCTATTTGCTACTTGCTCTGGGCCATCGACAGACAATGCCTCAAATGGGCAATCTCGAATGTTTATCGCGCACTCTTCCCGGTAGCATTTTGGCAGTAGCCCACGGTAGTTTCATTCAGCATCTTTTATTTCCATTTTATTGGCTTTGTCCGCAGAGCGCGGAGTTGGGCTTCATCTTCGATGAATTGCTTTCTAAATGACCCAAGGCCATGTTCGGAATGATATTTCATATTGATCTGGGAGCACGGGCAGGCTCTCCGGCGGAGGCATTGTTTCTGGCCAAGAAAGGTGTGTTTATGGGCAAGACAACAAAGAAAAAGCAGCGAAAAGCATAGAAATGTGGGAGCAGCAGCGATCTGAGCGTGACTCTTGACATGCCAATGAAAGAAAATATTCGATTCTCATTCAGGGAAATGCTCACTGTAATGTTTCGTGGAACCCACTGATTGTCAGCTTCTTGGACAGCACGCGCATGTAGTAAAATGTGGTAAAACAAAATAACAAATCAATCAGTATTTCGCGGGAGTCCTGAGCAACTTAATGGCATTCGTGCCCGCCCGCCCCTCCATTTTGAGGCTCCATGCAAATCCCCCACTGGTAACTAATATGCAGTTAAGCGCTGCTCGTTTAATTCAGATTTAATGGACGTTCGGGGCATAAAGCCAACTGGCTATCACTGGGGGATAAGGTTGCACTCGCACCTAATAACGCCGTACAATTAAATGTAAGCCGAAACTGTGTCAGCCATGTTCGCAGATGCAGATGCAGATGCCAATGCCGATATAGAACTAGCCGTGGCAAAAGGTCGAAAGTGTTGGCTATCAACTGTCGAGATGAACAGCGACGAAATCATTAAAAGACAATAACATTGTACAAGAATTTCAATTGAGTGAGTCAAGATCGAAAAAAGCGACGGGACAGAAAATCGCTTGAAATTGTCGCAACAACTCGTATAAATCTCTTTGCGCCACTTTGAATGCTAAGTAAACCAGCGGGGACCACGTCGTCATCGGTTTTTAATCGCTGCAAAAATCACCGAAGGCCATCTTGGACATTTCATAGTCGCAATACCCAGCTCCCCCAGCTCCCCCAGCTCCCCCATCCCCCCGTTTTAAGCCAAATCAAAGCGAACCAGAGACGACCATCCGAGCGGATTGAAGTCATTTTTGAGCGCATCTCAACCAGTTGTATCTGTATCTATATGTGTATCTGTGCCCGCTTCTACCCAAATGCCTATATCTGCGTGTTGGCCAATACCTGTGCTTGACACTTGTCGCCAGCCTGCACTGAAAGAAAGTTAGCTGCTTTTCAAATGCGGGCTTCGAATGCGCACGGTGCCTAAAACACTTTCTGTGCCGCCCAGTGACCACTGTGCGGATTCGCTAAATTAATGAGAGGAGCAGGCAACTGCAATCCGAGCTGCTTGCCAGTGGTGGAGGCATTAGCATGAAATTCTAATAAAGGAATTCTGCCGTTAAGGTGTTGGCCGGGATCAGTGCAGATGCCTGCGCGTTGTGTAAACTGGTTTAATTGAATTGTTATATCACCGGCTTCATCATCATCGATGCCAGTCTGGGTTCTTTTTAGTCGCAGGCCGAAGAGAAGTGGCCAGCATCTGACTCATACCTAACAGATACATCTACATATGAGTATCTTTCAGTAAGCTGAGAAGGCCTGACTTAATTTATTCCGCTTGGTGTGCACGAGTCTTGGATGGTCCCAGCCACATTGGAATCGGATGAATATCTTTATAAGAGTATATTGTATTTGTTTCTGTTTCCAAGAGGATATGCCTTGCTTATGATCATATAATGTATGTTTATGCATATTTATTTGCATAGGCTGACCAAGTATTGTACAACCATGACTCCCCCAGCCGAATTTAGAACACCCTCGCCCTCGATCGATTCTCCACTCCCAGTCGCAGTTCCAGCTCCAATCCCACTTCCAATACCAACGCGAATTACCCTACTA